GTGTGTGTGTGTGTGTGTGTGCGCGCCGACCGCACCCTATGTTACACGCAGGCGTCGTGATCATCTTCGCTGCGGGGGTATATATATACGTGTATATATATATATATATATATATAATCGGCGTTCCAATTTATCCACAATTTATAAATCGCTTCGTTCGACCCAGTTTGCGAGGCGCATTATTAAATCAACGCTCAACGAGAGAGCTAATAATATCACACGCAGGCGTTTCGCGCCGAGAGCAGCGAGAGACAGCAAGCAGCAAGCAGCAAGCAGGCAGCTAGCAGAGCAGCAGCAGCAGCAGCAGCGAAGTAGCAGCAAGCAGCAGAAGCAGTAGCAGTAGCGGCAGCAGCAGGCTAGCAGAGCATAGCACAGAGTAGCAGGCCATACGTGATGCAGGAATAGGACTGATGGCGTGAGATGCGCGTCCCTGATGCTCTGCTTGTATCTATAACGACATACTAGCTATATAGTCGAAGTGTCTTTCCTCCACATGTTGTCATGCATATTAACGCGGTTACGTCATATTCATTAGCGCCGTTACGTCGCATTGATTAACACGCTTACGTCACGTTACATGACGTGTTGCAACCGCTTCAGAAACGTCGAGCGCAGGTGATTGTTTATATCTGATGCGCACGCAATTTGACTCACGCTACGTTACACGCGTGTGACACAAAGGATTGCACGCCTGATACACACGGCATTAAGCACGTGCAGGGAGCGCCTGGGCGTTGTCATGGCGTTGTCGGTGTAAAGTGCAAACGTCTACTCTCGACTTCTCTCTCTCGTCCGGCCCTATCCCACTCTCTCTCTCTCCTCTCTCTCTCTCTCTCTCTCTCGCCTCTCTCTCTCTCGTCTCTCTCTCTCGCGCTCTCATTCTCTCTCTCTCTTATCGTTCTCTCTCTCTTCCGCGCCGACGCGCGCTCTCTCTCGCTCTCTATTCTCCCGACGCGCTCTCTCTCTCTCATCGCGCGCACGCGCGTCTTCTCATTGCTCCCCTATCCTCTTTACTTCTCTCTTTCTCTCTCTCTCTCTCTCTCTCTCTCTCTCTCTATCTCTATGTATTTATCTCTCTCCCTCTTTCTATCTCTGCAGATATATATGAAAATATATTAATATAAAGATTTGAACAGAATACGCACAAAATTAACACCTTATTCTACTATTATATTATATATATATATTTCTCTCTCTCTTTCTCTCGTTCTCTCCTGCTTACGATATCACATCGATGAGCCCCGACGAGTCATGCTTTAAATGTTCTAAGATTTCACATAGACTATGTCATCATCACGCAACCAGCAGACAGCTTACTACAGCGGCCCACAGCTGCCCTGTCCGCAACCACACCACGCAGCAGCTACTACAGCGCCACACTCGCCCCTGCCGCAGACCACCCCACGCCAGCAGCTACTACCGCGGCCACACTCGCCTCTGCCGCACCCACACCGACGCAGCAGCTACTACACGCGGCCACACTCGCCCCTGCCCGCAACCACCACCACGCAGCAGCTACTACACGCGGCCACACTCGCCCCTGCCCGAACACCCCACGCAGGCAGCTACTACAACGCGGCCACACTCGCCCCTGCCCGCAACCACCACCACGCAGCAGCTACTACACGCGGCCACACTCGCCCCTGCCCGCAACCACCACCACGCAGCAGCTACTACACGCGGCCACACTCGCCCGCAACCACCACCACGCAGCAGCTACTACACGCGGCCACACTCGCCCCTGCCCGCAACCACCACCAACGCAGGGCAGCTACTTATTATCAGAAGACCGAACTCGCCCCTGCCCGCAACCATTTCTTACACCAGACAGCCTACTACACGCGCCCCCACCCTCCCCGCAAACACCACACGCAGCAGACTACTACACGCAGGCCCACTACTCAGCCCTGCCTACGTCCGCAACCACCACCACCGCAGCAGCTTACTACACGCGGCCACACTCGCCCTGCCCGCCGCAATCCAACCCGACCGACGCAGCAGCTACTAAGACGCGGCCACATGCGCCCTGGCCCGCAACCACACCCCACGCCAGCAGGCGCTACTACAAACGCACAGGCCAACAGCCTCGCCACCGCATAGCCACGCAACCACGCACCACCGCCAGCAGCCTACTACACGCGCCACACTGCGCCCCCTGCTCAAAACCATCACCACGCAGCAGCTCACCCGCGGCCAACTCGCCCTGCGTCGCAGGACCACCACCCACGACCACGCGTGTTGATAGGCGTGGGGTTTCCACAACCACACAGCACGCGCTGCCACGCACGCACGCACGGCGCAAGCACGCACGCACGCACGCGCGAAGCAACGCACCGCACGCACGCGAAACGCACGCACGCCACGGACGCACACAGCACACACCACGCCGACGCACTGCACGCGTACGCACGCACGCACGCCAAAGCGAAGCCACGCAGCTACGCACGCACGCAGCCACACCACAGTCACACACATACCACACACACACACACACACACACCACACAGCACACAACAGCACGCGCACACACCAGCACAACTAGTATCCAGTGTTTAGTTGCTACTGTTCGTGGGAGCAGTGTCGGGGTTTGTCGCTGATTATCACATGGCGCGCTGTCATCGTCATCCTCGATGTGAACAAGTCAACGACGTATAGT